AAAGTTTATATATGATAAATAATTACCTCATACTATTTTAAAATTTAGCCTATTCTATGATTATTTATTGATATAAATAAATATATATGTATTATTTTTTTTTCACTTGGCACTGAAACAGACAGAGAGGTCAGGTGATGATTTTCATAAATGTATGTTCAAAGGCCAGGAACAAATCGGGGAAGATCTATGGATTATCGCCTACGATATGCATATCTTTGAAAGATCATTCATTGATTGAGCCTTCGGGTGTTTACTCCAGCATTGATGCTCAGAAAAAAATAAGTAAATAGTCATCTAATAGGGATTATCAAGTTTTCATTAATAATTTACTGATTTATTAAATTCATTCATTCTAATATAATTTATTTTATTTAAGAAAGATTGCTGTTACAATAAATTAATACTGAAAATGTCACTGAATGTGAAATATTAGACATGGCACATATTAAGGACTGACTAGGAAAAGTATGATAAAATCTAATATTGATTTCTAAACTATCATTTCTAGTTATTTCAAATGATTCTAAAATACAAAAAAAAAAAAAAAAATTTAAACGCAAAGAATGGAAGTAATAAAAAATTAACTGAGAGAGTGAAAGATAGTTTTTTTTTCAATCATCCTCTTTTCAAATTCTTTTTGGTTTTGATTTTTCGATGTAAATATACCATCAAATCAAAAGAAATGGGACATATGTTATTTTTTAAAGAAATTTAGTTTATTTCAGTATGAAACATAAGAATTGAACTTACCACAATTAAGTGAAATAACTCACAACCAATTCCTACTTAAGGTAAAATAATTTCAGGTTTAAAGAAAAAAGATAAAGTTTCTCTTGAAATAGGATTTTAATATGAATAAGATGATGGGTCCCAACTTTTTTTTTTTTTTGTTTGTTTTGAAGTGAGTTGAGTGATCTAGTATGAAATTAGGACATTTTAAATAAAAAGTCTGAGGAATAAATATTTATCATAAACTGAAAAAAAAAGAAAAAAATCATCATTCTTCTTTTTTGCTATTGTTTATCATCTTATAAGTGTAGAAAAATTATAAAAAATCTTCTATATGCTTGAAGTTCTCTAGGTTTGAGACAAATATCTGTAAAAAATATCATATCTTCCTCAATAGTCTGCCAAATGGTGAGCATTTAAATTGCTGCTGTTAGTGCAAAAGGTCGAATTTTTTTTTTCCGTTATCTCCTTCCTCGCCTTTTAAGCTATAAAGGGTTTTCCTGGACCAGGGGGTGAGGGCAAGGGATTATAGCCAGAATTAAAAACCCCACTGGCACCAGGGCGCGAGCTCGTACTTATTTTATTCTGCATAACTTCGGTTATCAGGTTGCCAGACAACACGTGGTGCTGTGCACACGTGTTAGCCCACTCAGCCACTCCCGGCCCTGCTGCAAAAGATCATATGTAAAAATTGAATTGTTTTTGCAAAAGATCTTACAAACTGATTACTTCTTTATGAATTTTTACTATAATTTCATATTAAATTTCCATATAATATTTCTATAGTACAAAACTGTTTATTGGAGTTGCAGAATACAAAATACAAACGTTTAGCACAAATAGAATTAATATAAAAATTGTTATATATGACCTTTCGCACTACCAGTAGCGAAATGAATTTAAAAAATATATAAATTTAGGTTTGTTTACCAAGGATGTCTTTTTACTAAGATAGATAGCTGTTTACACTGAAGAAAAATATTCATGTTTCAAGGCATTAAAACAACCAAAGTACATAAATAAATGCAATTTACTAAGGATTTTTTTAAGGTATAGAGAACTTCAGACATGTAGAAGAAATTATTTTAATTTAGCTGTAACAAATATCAAGGTCATACATTTTACTTAAAAAAAAAAAAGAAAAGGAATTTCTCTATTATATCTTATGATGTCTTGTTTATTGTAGTTGTCATTTATCTCTAAGCCAATTCCAAATAGAATTTATTTATTATGGATGATACTTGAAGGAGAGGACAATTATAATTCAACACCTTTTATTTTTACTCCATTCCAGACTATGAAGAAACAGTTATGAAGACCAATCAAATCCGACACAAAGTATTGGTGTCATTAGAATTATTTTACATGAAAAATTAGTCTCGTTTAATGTCCACCTTTCCTCTGATATTTCTTAAATTATCAGTTTTGTTACTTTATTATTATATTCTTTTTTCTAAAATACTTAATATAATCCACAGTTATTTTTCCTCACTCCGAATTAGCCTTCATACTGCAGGATGGCTGGCTTTATGCAAGAGTGAGTTTACTAACTTAAGTACTAATATTTTTTTTTTGTAACGTGTTTTGTAATGAAACTGTAGACAAAAATGAAGGTTTATTTTTGACTTCCTGAAAAACAAAATTTGTCGAAAAGGTGTAATGAGGCACAATAAATATTTTTAGACTATTATAACAAGATGTAAAATGATGCATAACCAAATTGATGAATATCTCAAAGCAGATTTTACTAATGCTATAATGCAGGTCTAAATAAATTATTTTATTGTAAAGAAATAATTTCAACACTTTATTATAGTTAAAGCATGATTTGAAGATACATGCCACTCAAAAATGAACCAACTACTGAAATTCATAAGAAAAAAAAAAAAAAAGAAAAGAAAAATAATGCAATCTAAAGGATCCTAAGAATCTTATTTAACAAAATGGTGCTTATTTGTATCTACAGCATGCAAATTATATGTAAACGCATTATCGCTTTATTATAAAAAAAGGGTTGTAATGATAAATGACTATAAAACTAAAAAACTAATTCATTAGGCATAAAACACATATCCTTCAAAAACCACTCTAAGAATAATATATTTTCACTGACCCAAATCTTGTTTTCGTCTATCTAAGACATCTTTGTTGGACTTGTTTTCCAAAAACAATTCTGACAACTCTGCAAAAAGTTCGAAATCTGCTTAAATAGAGGGTTTTCTAGCTTTGTCAACCCGTTTTCTTGTACAATACCTATTTATAACTAAAAGGAATTTTACTTCCATACTTACACTGCTAATTTTATTAAAAAATATAATGGGCTTTATGCCTATCAAGTGTACCTACAACTTTAAAATTACTTTCTATACAGATAAAATTCATTTCATGATGATTCATTAATTTTCTTTGTGATGAAATGTAATTTTGGTCACTCTCTATCCAAAGTGTGAAAATAAGTTCCCATAGAAAGAACAATAGCCTGTTTTGAACAACTCATTTATTTAAAAAGTAAATAAAGATGTTTTTAGGTGGTAAGATTCCAGTGATATATATTCTGTTGTAAAAAGTGAGGTTTCTTTTTACCAACTCATTAAGGTAAATTTTTTTATGTCATTAATTGAACTTTTCTAATAATCATGCTTTATAATTCAACCAAACAATATTTTTAAAAATGTCAGTCCATATAAGAATTCACTGCATGTCTTTTAATTTTTTCTAATTTCACATTAATCATTGTAAAACATACTTTTATTCAATTCTAGGATTGTAGGTGGATGGATTTAAAAAAATATTTATCTATCAATCAAAGGAGAAATTTGATGAAACAGTGGACATAATAAGGTAGGAGGAGGAATTCTGCCCCAGAGACATCGTCATGGAGGGAGGCAGGAAAGGAGAAGTTACCAGAATTTTAATTTAGGAATCATATCGTTGTTAAAACTATGTGAAGGCAAAAAATATGAGAGTCTTCATGTTTTGTTAGAAAAAGATGGATGAACCGATTCTCCTGTTTTCTTCATTTTCATGATTTTAAATAAATTTCTATTAACTTTTTATTCTTTGATGATCATCTGGATCCCTTCACGCTCTGGAATCACTGAAAATTAACATGCAAGCCAAGGGGCTAATACAGCAAGAAAGTCAGGTACAATTCTGGTTCATCAATTAATGGAGTCACCGTAGAAGGTTTCTTGAAAAAATTAAAGAAGGGAGTATGTAAAATTTGGCAGAATAAATGAGTACAAAAATAATCTAAATTAAAGGAAGTAAAAAGCCACTGTACCAAATGGGAAAACTCTTAATGATCCTCCAGGAAAGAAGAAACTGTCCTCTCCCAATTAAGGATTGGTTATTGTGAGTTTCCACAAGCCTATTAATTATGAGGACTTGATCTTCCAAACTGTGGGATTTCTAATGTCTAAAGAAGAGCCGAACACATTATACAAGACAAGGGTGCCCAGAAGGAGGTCGCATAGTGAAAATTATGAAATAAAAATTTTTGAGGGGTTATATTTTTAAGGGGTTTTGAGTTTTTGGGAGGTGGGAACCATATTTTTGTGAAGCTCAATTTAAAAGAACTTTTAAAGCTGTAAATAGAGGGAAAACATGGAACATACAACAGTAAGTGTAGTGTATGAACTGCAATTTTTATTATTCCATTTTTTCTTGCATCATTTTTAGTAAGATTCAAAACCATAAGAGAAAAATTTGATTTCATATAAAATCTAAAAGAAAATTTAAACTACAGTGAAACAAATGTAAAGAAAACATTCGAATTTTTAAAAACAGTGAAACTCTATAACAGAGTTTAAGTTGAAGGTACTGCCAATGTACTCCAATGTAGGGTTAAAGTAATAACAAAAAACAAATAAATTAATATTAACGTTTTAATGTTGAAAAGAAGTTGGTTGAGGTATTCAGCCCAAAAATGACAAGAGAGAGAGAAACACTTTATTTTCATAAAATATAAAATATAAAGGATTGCTGCCCAATTATATTGGGTTGCTATATACACAGCATACTCTTCTATCCTTAAGACAATAAATGAACTTATATATAAATATACAGAAGTATTAGTTAATATTAGTAAAATAGAAAAAAAAATTATTTATTTTTACTTTGCTACTTTTTGATTGAACATCCCAATCAAGACCTCTTCAATATATCTAGGACAGTCAGTTATTAATCCACCAGCGTAAATTTTGAGTCATTTCAAAGTACCCTCTGAGGAGTACCCTCCTATCTTGATGTTTCCATGCCAATGTTGTTCAATTGTTAAGGCATCTGGAAACTACTGTAAAGAAAAATAAGTAAAACAACAACAAGTAAAAAGTTATAGCTTAAAGCACCATAAACCGGGGTTACTTTGGAACTAAGGATGACTATGAACTAGAGTTTATTTTGAATATGAGATTATCTGGGGGGAGGGGCGATAAAACATTTATAAATTCAGAAAACTTTCCTTTAGTCTTGATATAATAACTTTCTAATCTGTCTAGTGGTTTGAAATTGAAGTTCAGGGGACCCATTGATTGACAGGTTGGACCTTAATAAAAATAATTAGCTTCCTTATTGATTTAAAGGTTCCAGTATTTTCTAGATTGAAGAACAATGCCCTTTATTGATAACTGTATGCACAAAGTTCCCAAAAGAAAATTTTATTCTATTGTGCTTTTGAGACAAGTGTGTTTCATACCTTCCTTCTAACAGTTTTGCTAAGAGTAAGTTGAACATTTATGTTGTGTTATCTTTATGGTTAAATAAAGATTTTAGAATTTTTCCGAGTTATGTCTTTTACTGGTACCGATCCCCTGTCCATTACTAGAACAATTGAATTTTGGGGTGTCCATCACTAGTGCAAAACTGTTTTTTTTTTTTTTAATGGAGATTATATCTGCATAACTGAATTTTTTTTCAATTTTAAAGTATTAAATAGAAAAAGGAGACCCTAGAGATTCTAAACGTCAAACGGAGAAGTTTATAATTATAATAATTGCAGTAGTATAAGCAAAAAATTACAAAACTTTTCTTAGCTATCTCCATCACTGGTACCCTTATCCTACGATCTTTAATTTAATACCATTTTTGTATTTTACAATAAATTGTTTTTTCGACAGTAGTATTAAAACTATGAATTTAGCAATTGGAAAATTTCTCAAAAAGGTTATGAATTGAAATTGCCATAAAGAATTGTTGATTCACTAGTTAAATTTGTATATATTGTATATAGGTATGATTGTGTTTAGAAGTTTCTATTTTATGTTATTTGTTTAGTTTTTTTTTTATTTCTTTCTTCATCAGTATTATTTATTTACTTTTTATATTTATATTTATTTCTCTATTATTTGTATATATTGTATGAATGAGAACTCTTAGCCCTAACACTTATAGCCCTCCAGCAGTGGCTGATTGTATTATTATTCAATAAATAGATTTTTAAAAAAAAAGTTAAATTATTTGGTAAAAATATTATGATTCGGCCAAGTGCAGGCCCGACAAGAAATTGCAAAGGATGAGATCGGTATTCGGTTTTGTATCTAATATTTAACTGGGGTCTAAGAAAATTTATCCCTAGGGCACCTGATCTCTCTACACGCCCTGGTAAAGTGGAGGGACTGAGGGAAGGGATAGATTGAAGGATAGAAATATGGAGAAAATATTATTTAATGCGACAGCTAGCTCGCTTATTTACCTGTCATGGGCGGTATATGAAGGGCATATAGGACGAGCCCTTGGGCAGAGACAACGGGCAGCAACCTCCTAGATAGCCGAGCTGCCAGCGCCTCTGAGAAATCTGCCCCTCCTGGTGCCGCCAATTTTTCGGGAGAGAGGATGAGCCTCTGGCGGGGTATATACTGTGCTAGAACTGCCAGTGCCTCCAATATTGCTTGTCTGACCTATAAACCAAATCAAGTAATTTAAAATAATATAAATATATTTCTATAGTCTTTTACGTATACAGAGGAAAAAGAAAAAAAAAAAAAAAGATATGAAAAAACAAGTGGTATTTTAAAACAAATTCTATTTTTAGTTAAACAAGTGGGGCCGCGGTGGTCGAGCTAGTTAAGGAGCCAGCAAAAATGTTGTATCAAGTGTTCAAATCCCTTTAGCCGGGAATTTCATAACACACACACACACACACACACAATTAAGAATAAATTAAAATAATTAAGTGGAGGCTTCCTACTCGACTACTTAGAATATAATGGAGCGGGTTCGATTCCGCATGGAGACGGTAACGTCTCGATCCTGAGATTTGTAGGGATGTGAGTGACCCCTGTGTCTTAAACCATAGCTCCTGGTCCTTTAGGTTTTGGAGTTGGTATCGGACTGATAATCCTGCTATCCCACAAAAAACTGAGTGGAAGATTGAAGCAAAAGATTGCCAACCATCCTGCAGGAAAGTTCCTGATGAAGAGGGAGTGAAATGTGATCGCGTCCGGTTAGTGAACCACGTGCTCTCTGGATATATCTAGAAGGAAAGATAACCAAACGATCACTACTGTCGCCAATAACAGTCCCAAGCTGCTGAAAAAGCTTAAAACGTTTAAGTCAACAGAAAAAAAAAAAATGATTTCATTGGGTCATTTCTTTCCATGTATTTAGAAATTCGTTTAAATATATTTTATGTGTCTTTAAACTCATACAATTTCAAACAAATTCGTTAGATTTCTGGTTAGGTTTTGATATAGACTAAAAAATAACTTCTCAATACATCGAATTCCAGCTTTTTTAAGGCTTTTAAAAAAGGTTGCCTACTCTCATTCCTGACAATGTACAAACGTCAACTTTTTACTTTGTAAATTCATTAAAAATATTGAAAACAATTAGTAATTATGGTACTTGTGTACGGTTGGCAAAACGGCGGTAAGCCACAAGCTCGTATCATTATAGATGGAATTCCGAACATTAAGTAAATGATGACGAACTATACCATCACCCTCCTATTAAACCAATTTAACCATAGTGTTAATAATATATTAATATTGAACGTCGAATACCGAAGTAGTTTTATCGAATTAAATGGTACCTACCGATGGTAGTCACTAACACTTATATTTTATCGTATTATGGAGTACCATATCCACAAATAACAACATTAATGAAGCTAGGATTTAAAAATCAGGTATTACAAATAAGTGATGCTTCATTTTAATTATTGGGTAAGGCCTGATGTTGAGCGAGCTGCAAGTCCTATCTGCACACGGCTGCAAGTCGTGATCCAATTAAAGCAGAAATGATTTTAATAATCCATTTTAATCCGTAAAATGTAGAATGAAATGGACCATATCGCTTCTGTTAGTGCAAAACGTATGTATGTAAAAATCGAGTTTTTTTTACAACTGATAATTTCTTTATGATTTATTAGTATAATTTCATATTTTATTTTCCTTTAGCAGACTATTTATAGCAGTTGCAGACAACCAAGTTTCACCTTTAGCGCGAGAAGAATAAACATGTAAAATTGTTACATACGGCCTTTTGCACTAACAGTAACAATATATTCAATTATAACATTAAGGTTATGTTTGTGTGTTAAACAAGACGTGCCTTTTTTTTGGATATATATATTTTTTAATTCGTACAAATAAATTTTCATACACTCTGCTTCCATCATAAATGATCATGTGCATAAGAGCTTTATGCTAGTCGATATCATGCCTGTCGGGTTCTACGCAAGTACCATAAATACAGATGTTTCAATTCTAATTCTTGAATTATTTAAAAAAAAACAACGTTATAATGTGATATTTTAATTGTTGGATAACTATTACTATTACTATAATTATTACTATTACTGATATTGATAAGGTTAATATTAAAGACATACCCTCCTTTTCGGTTCAGTGGGAGCCATTGCCATCACCTTGTCCGCCAGGAGACCAGGGTCGAATTCAGTCGAAGGATAGGTCATCAGACTGTACAACAGCCCTAACAGCGAGTTCTCTCTCAGCTGCAACAGGTTTATATTTTTTATTTATTAAAAATCATGCTATAAAGGATATATGGTCAGTGCTCTGTACAAATGGACAAATTGACAAGTGTTGGGGGTTTTTACCGTTTTATTATTAGATTTGTGACGTGTAAATAGCTACAAGATATATAAAATTGGAAAATATGCAACTCATATTTTTATGTACATTTGCCTGATAGAATAGAATAGAATAGAAAAATAATTTTATTCTGGGACGAAGTCCCTTCAGAATAACAAAAAAGTACAGAAATTAAAATTTTACATCTGGCCAGATAAAAACAAACATAACAAATTAAGATAATGATAAGTCATTAAAGAAAAGAAAAGAAAAAAATATTGGTTATACATACTATATACAAAATAAAATATAAAAATCTATATAAAAAACTCTTGAAACCATACTAAGATATTTAAAACTATGTACGATGTTAAAATATAAATAAACCCTTTTAGAAAAAATAAAAAATACAGAAAAAATAAATGTATATTCTTCTTAACAGTAAAATCTGTTTCTGTTGAAACAGAAAAAAAAAAAAAAAAAGAGAAAAAGAAAGTCGAATCTATAATAAGTATTCAGGTCATGAGCTATATGTGAATATGGTCTTATATATAATGTGTAATTTTACATAAAAGATTAGCTGGTGCCTGACTGTTTTTGGGACAGGAATTGGAATAGGAGGGTTTTGAATGTAGATAAGGATGAAGAATGTCGAATTTTGATTGGAAGGGAATTCCAGAAACTAACAGAACGTGCAATAAAGGAGTTTTGGAACGAGGCAGATCTGTGAGAAGGAATGTAAAGGTCGGAAGGTCGAGATCTTGTGGAGAGGGAGTGGACTGAGGACTTGAATTGGAGAAGGTTGTAGGCGTAGGAAGGACGATGATTGTTGATGATATGATAGAGGAATGTACCTAGGAAATATTGTCTTCGAATGGAGGGGAAGAGCCACTCTAACTCAGTGTAATGGTGAGAGACATGGTAGTATCTCGGGGCACCAATTACAAATCTCACGCAACTGTTCATTATTCTTTTCAGTCTGTCGCGGAGCTCCACCGAGAGTCCATCATACACCACACAGCAGTAGTCAAAGTGGGGGAAGATGAGAGAGGAAACGAGGAGTCTGCGCGTATGTTGAGGTAGGAGATGGCGGAAGCAATGGAATAGTTTGAGGGTAGAGACTGTCCGTCGGGAGATGTGAGAAATATGGTGACTCCAGGAGAGGGTTTGATCAATAAATAGTCCTAAATTTTTTACAGAGGAGTAGAAGGAGATTGGCTGGTCACCAAGGTTTAGTATGGGAAAGTCCGTATAGGATCTAAGGAGGGGCTTGGAACCAATGACAATGGCCTGAGTTTTTGAAGCATTTAACCTTAATCCGTTTAATTTTGCCCAGGCACAGATTCGATCTAGGTCTGCTTGGATCTTAGTAAATGCTACCAATAGCTCAGGGGGAGAAAAGGATAGGTATATTTGAGAATCGTCTGCATAAAGGTGGTGGGAACAATGGAGAATTGAGTCATGGAGGTCATTGATATAGGAACTAAAAAGGAGAGGAGATATGCTAGATCCTTGGGCGACTCCAGAGGATAAAGGCAGGTAGGCAGATAGTGGTTGATTAGGAATGGAGACTGCTTGGGTGCGTTGTGATAGGAAAGATTGGAACCAAGAGATGGAGCTATTGGAGAAGGAGAGTGATTTTAGTTTGTTGAAAAGGATGGGATGGTTAATGGAATCAAAGGCTTTAGAGAAGTCAAGAAGTATAAGGACAGTTAGTTGTTTATTATCTATTGCAGTCTGAACATCATTAGTAATTTTGATTAAGGCGGATTGTGTGGAGTAGCCGGGACGGAAACCAGATTGGAGAGGATCGAGTTGGTTAGACTTTTCTAGGAAATTGGAAACTTGGGATTGTACCAATCTTTCTAGGGGTTTTGAGAGATTGGAAAGAATTGAGATTGGGCGAAAGTCTTCGGGAGAGGATGGATTAGGCTTTTTATTTAAAGGGAGTACAATGGCTTTTTTCCAAGAGGAAGGGAATATTGAGTTCTGTAGGGAGAAATTGTAAATGAAAAGGAGAACTGGGAGGATTTCGGGGAGACATAATTTTATCAATTTGACAGGAATGCCATCTGGTCCTATGGAATTGGTGTGGGATTTCATTACTGCGGTTAGTAAGTCAGTCGGGGAAATGTAGGAGAAATAAAAGTCATCATCATTAAATGATGACTCAGGAGCATAGTTGGAAGAGGAGGGAAGAGAAGAGGTAGAGGAGGCAGAAATAAAATGTGAATTTAAATCGTCAGGTGAAACGGAAAAGAACAGTGAGGAAGGGGATCTAGAAGGTTCACAGAGGGAAAGTTTGCGAAGGATTAGCCATTTAGATTTGGGATCTGGGGCAGATGACAGGGCTTCATGGAAGTAGGAAGCTTTAGCTCGCCGAATTCTTGTTTGTGTCAAATTGCGGAGCACCCTAAACGCTTGATAGTCATCTGTAAGCCTAGTACGTCTAAAGCGTCTGCGGGCAGCATCACGCCTCTTCTGCAGATCCTTGATTTCTTGACACATCCAGGGTGCAGGCCGACGGCGAAAGGTTGATGTTTTTATGGGAGCATGGGTGTTAAGGATATTGAGGAGATTGGAAGTCAGGATTTCAACCATGGAGTCGATGGAGGAGCAGGAATATATTTCGTTCAAGTCTAAGGTTTCAAGGTCAGGTAGTATTTTTTCACGGGTGAGAGTGTCTATCTGACGGAAAGTAAAGGTTCTCGGATGAATCAGAGGGGTTTGGATATTATATGTTATTTGGATCATGTCGTGAGACGATAAGAAGGATACTGGCAGTTGAGAAGAGGAGAGGAGATTTATTTCGGAGTCTATAATGAAGAAGTCTAACCAAGTGTCGGCCTTGTGGGTGTGGTGAGTAGGATAAAAAGGAACAATAAAGAGATGGAGGGAAAAAAATAGGTTTTCTAGATAGGTTTTGTCTTTGGAATTAGAAAGGAAATTGGTATTGAGGTCACCGGCGATGATTATTCTAGGATAGAGGGGAACAAAGTTGAGTAAGGTTGATTCTAAGGACGGATCAAATGGAACAAGGGGAGGACGGTAGATCACTATGTAAAGGAGAGGTGAATTATTACAGGTAATTTCTACTAGAAGGTATTCCACTTGTGGATGTTCGGAGGGTGGGGAGTAATCAAGGATTCGGGACTTCAGGCTATCATGGACAAATATGGCCACTCCACCACCAGTCCGGCTGACCCGGTCGTGGCGGATGAGGGTGTAATTAGGTAAGGAGACAGATGAGGACGGAATATAGGGTTTGAGCCAGGTTTCTGAGATTGCGATGATGTGAAAAAAGTACTGCAGGAATTCATCATAATGGGCGGGAAGGGATTGCGAGTTAACGTGGCAGGTGGTTAGGATGCTAGACATGGGGAGGATTTGATGGGAAACAGTCAGAAATTAGCATAGAGGAAATGAGGCATATATCATATTCTGAAAAAAAATTATGAAAAGTACTGATAGGCAAAATAAAAGTGAATAATGAAAAAATAAGTGAGAAATAAGAGTAAGAAAATAAACAAATTAGTAAACTGGAGCTGTGAGAAATTTTAACCAAAATCTTCAATGTTATTTGGGCACCAATGAAGACAAAAAATACTTTGAAGAACGAGAAGAAGAGATGAAACCTGTGCAGTCAGGCGAAAACTTCTAGATCCGATGCCTGATTAATCAAGATTACTTGATGGCCGTCTTCTTTTCGGCAACGCACAATGCCGGCAGAGAACCATACTCACTGATATATTACTCACTTTCTAAAATGTCCTTTAAAATATTACATAACGTCCTTATTACACTAACACAGAAAATATATCTTTTTTATTTCGCAAAATATCAGAAAAATTAAAAGTTAGTCGGGGGAGCGGTCAAAAAATACTATATAATATAATAATATATTTACTGCATTGTCTGCATTTGGACAATGGAATAGAGAGAGAAACACTTTATTTTCATAAAATATAAAATATAAAGGATTGCAGCCCAATTATATTGGGTTGCTATATACACAGCATACTCTTCTATCCTTAAGACAATATATGAACTTATATATAAATATACAGAAGTATTAGTTAATATTAGTAAAACAGAAATATATATATATACATTTTTATTATTTTATTTATCTTTATAATTTTTTTTTTTTTTTTTTTTTCCTTTTTACATAATATTATGTAATACAGTATTTATTTACCGTACCCTCGATTAACTTTTAATTTTTCAGATATTTTGCGAAATAAAATAGATATATTTTCGGTGTTATTGTAATAAGACGTTATGTAATATTTTAAATGAAATTTTAGAAAGTGAGTAATACACTAGGCAAATGTACATAAAAATATGAGTTGCATATTCTCCGATTTTATACATATTGTAGCTATTTATACGTCACAAATCAAATAATAAAACGGCAAAACCTCCCAAAACTGAAATTATATTCTGAAATTGTAATCTACGGCCATCCATCTCCATACCAGAAAAATGTCAATAAGATTCATTTATAAGTTTGATAAATCCATGAAAATAACAAAAAATGTGGTTCTAGTTAATAAGGCATTGGGAATTTGGAATTATGGCAGGAAGAGAATGGCAGGTGGGAGGAATCATCACAGTAGATTGTAATCCAAATTCATCGAAAATAATAATAATAAAAATAATTAAATGTTAGTTAAATGTTAGTTATACTGCTGACGTAATTGGTCAAAGGGTTTGATTAAAAGAGAAGAAAAGTAAATTCTATTTTGGTCATTTAGTCTCTTAAGAATAATGAAAATGAATCATAGAAGTGACATTTGTTTGGGAAAAAATGACAGTTCACAAATAATTAAATGACAAAGTTACATATTTTTTTATATGGATTTTTCTACAACTTAAGGAG